ACTGGTATGCATTAATGCCATCCTTAATTGATGTGTTTTGCAATAAAATCGGACAAATAGATTTTAAGTAAAAACATGTGTCGTTTCATGACCGCGCGTCGCAACGCGGCAAAATTAATAATTATAAATTCCTTAACCGACTTCTACCAACTAGTAGTAGCAGTGAGTAAGGGTCGAACCCAAGGGAGTGTGAATTTTAATTGTAATTATTTTCTTTAATTGAAATTAATAAAAGCGAGGGGGGTTTGTTGTGAGACAATGAACTACGAAAAGAAAAATAACAAAATAAAATCAAATGCAGCAAAAGAGGATAGTTTATCAAATTATAAGAAAACTTCTAGTTCACGGTTCCGTCTACACCCTCGACCGACTCGTCTAATTAATTATGGTATCAAATCTCGCTATCTATGGAATTACTAGCCCTAGGTAACGCCACGGGCTGTTACTCGAATTTTTCCTTATTTTTAATCTAACCGCGAGACGCTCTACGATTAAATCTGACCTCTTGAACAGTCTAGGAAACGCTTCCTAAATTTAATTCAATTAGCCGTTTTACGATTTAGAAAAATATGCTAGACTAAGTAGCGAAATTTTCATTCACTTAATTAGGCTGTGTTATCCCCGGTAGTTACTATCTTCCGGTAGCCTCTAATTGATTAAACACATCAATAATTACGGATTGACAGTTTGAATCTAGCAGTAGATATGAAAAGCCTAATCTAGGTGATCAAGCTAAACAAGACTCAACAAATCAGGGTTAATTATTCAAAATAAAACAAACAATCCAAAAGATATTGAAATAATCAACCAAGAGAATTAATCAAACATTCATCGAGTGTTAGGGTTCAACTTCCCCGAAACTAGAATAAAAGAACTACTCACTAGTCATAATATTCAAAAACATGTTCATGAAATTAATTACACCAAGAAAGAAAAGAAAAAGAAAAGAAAAGAAATAAATTCTCTTCTGTTCGAATGCTTTCTGTTTCTTTTACTTGCGATCTCCTTTTCGCCTTCTTAATTCCCAACCGCCAAAAGAAAAAATTTCCTTTCAATAATAGGTCTCAGCTGCAATATAGGTCTCCAAGAAAGATTTTTATTCCCCCAGGCCACGTCACTCCTTTGTTGAGAATAAGTGGACCCTTTTTTTTCAAGTCCTCAGCCCAAATACATGTCCACTTAGCCCATTCGTCCACTTAAATAAATTCAACCCCAAATTAATTAATTGCAGCAGGAGTACTGGGGGCTGAAATGAAGTACTGGGTACCCCAGTACTAAATCAAAATTTGTCGAGCTCACGTCTTGCATTCAACGTCGTCACTTGCTAAGAATAATCCCAAAACTCTGAAAACACTCAAGAAACTCATCAAGGCACCACAATCGATCATA